TTTAGCAGAAGGAATATTCTGTCCCTTGAAGGAAATTGTTTCTCGAACAAATATTACTTATTTTAAATGCCACAGTCTAAGATACAGCAGGTTTTCAAAACACAAGATTTGTGTGAACATACATGAACTCCATGGGCACTGATCCCAGAGGAAGTTACTGACTTTGTCAGCTGGCAATCCTCTTGGGAAGTGAAAAGGGAGTGTGATTTTTGTAGTGTATGTCAGCCTTTTTCTTTGACAGTACATGCTCCCAAATTTCCCTGGCTTCAAATTTTCAGAAGTCTGAGGAAATGTGTCTTATTTTGGGAAGAAATTAGTACTTGCAGGCAACTCTGGAAAGCCAAATGTATTGCTGTTAAAATGTAAATATAAGTAGCAAAATTGAAACACAATTCTTGACTGTGAGTGCCTGGTGTTTACAGCTCTTGTGGACTTGCTGAGTTGCTTGATCCTGCATTGCTGTAAAACTGGAATTCGCTGATCTGGTTAATTTCAGGTTAATGGAAATCGGAACCATTGAACATCTGTGGCCTTGCTGGCTTTTAAAAGTTTATTAAAAGTCAAATGTATTTCTGTTATGATTTTATAAAGCATAAAGCATTTTATATGATTTCAAGTGTGTTATTTATTGGGGAAAATGTAACTACATCTGTAAGTGATAGATGTTAAATTCAAATACTTCATTTTTTTGTATTTCAGGATACTGTATTTATTGTATGAATGAATATAATGAACTGTTGGAAGTTATTAATTTGTCACTAAGCAAAAGTTAATTAACCTCATAGCAGTCTAAATTTGGAAAACCCCATAATTCTTTGGGAAAAAGGTATTATTTTAAAATATTTATATCTCTCCTAAAGTAAAGATAATTATTGCAGAAACACTGGAAATATGATTATGAGGTAACACAAACACAGTCATCAGTGAACAGACTCTCTCAGATAAAAATCTATGCAAAGAAAAGATAGTGGCTTTCACAAACTAATACTCACCTTTAAAAGGGTTGTCTTTTATAACAAGCTCTTTTCCGTTCTTCAGTGGAGATGAAAACTCTTGATCCTGTTCTCATACTGATGGGCTGCGCCTGCAGCCTATAGATGCATTTGTTACTTTCAGAGAAGTAGTTCTTCCTTTGCTTGGTATTAAGAACTGCTCATAGTTCAGGTGCTTTGGTAATTTAAGTACTACTTCACATTTAGCAAAAACTACAGTTTATTTGGTGGTCACCAAACAGAAAATAAATGGGTGACCTGTTACTTGAGTGTTGTAAGATACTGCTGAAAAAAATTTAGAAACCTTTGTTTTGAGTAAGTGAAGTTTATGTTGGGCTGCTGACAATAATAGGCTGTTAGTGAATGAAGTACAACTTAATCTCTTCAAATTGCAGAGCACTTCAGTAAAAAGGTATGCTTTTTACTGAAGTGCTCTGTAATTTGAAGAGATTAAATTGTAATGAAATTAAATTGTAATAAACATGAAATGCATGTTTCATGAAGTTTAGAGTGATGCTGTGCAAAATCATTTGCCTTAAACTCACAAATGCTGCAAGTTCAGTCCGTGCATTAAAAAAACCCCAACATCTTAGTGGAGTGTTTCTTCCATGGACTCTTAGCATGCAGTTGTTGAAATCAGCAAGCCAAAAGAGTCCTGGTTCTGAGTTCTCATGAACATCTGATGTTCATTCATTTTGAATGTGAATTGTTACTATCACATAGTAGTGTGTGAGAGGGAGATCCTATTTCAATTTGCAGACTGCAAAACATGCCAATATTTTATATCTGGCAGGGGCTCTTGTTCAGGTAGCTCAGTTCAGGTACCAGAAACATCCAGTTCCCTGTTCCTGGTCCCATTTCTGCTCTCACTCATTATGTGTGCCATAGTTTGTTTAGCTGTACACATTGTACAGACTTGTTTAAGGGTTAACAGGAAATCTTTTTCAAATAATGCTTTTGTAAACAGCGAAAATCAAGCTAGGACTCCTGAAGATCTTTAGTGTGTATACATTTTTTCCCCCAAAATTGATGTCAGAATAGTAATAATTTGTTCATAGAACACTACAATTTTGGGATTCGTTATTTTCATTTGAAAGGTTCTTCAATTTTCTTCAAGGCTTTTTCTAAATGTAAATACACATATATAATATTTAATGACTGTCGTGGATTAACTGGGATATTTTGCCATAGAAAGACTCTTCCTTAGAAGTTACTGAAAAACTAAAATATTAATTTTAAAACATCTGTGCTTATCTGCTGTTAACCATGGGATTTTTTGTGAAAATATAACCTGGTTTCTGGTCTCCTTAATGTATAGAGAAGGCTGTAGAAATTTAGAAACTGCTTCATTATACATTGGCTACCCCTTTATGTTTCACTGAGTATTTCCTTTGCTGGATTTGACTATCCCCTTCTTATGCCAGCAGGCCACAAACTTCTGCTAAACACTTTTGTTTTGGGACTTTTATACAAATTCACTTCAGTCATGAAGCATTGGTTTTTCAATAGATTGGGACTGAAAGGTTTTGAGAAAATATGAGAAGTGAGAAAATATATAAATGTAACATATGTAAATACTGTATCACTTGCTGAAACATCTGTCAATTACGTAGTCTTCTTGGCCTTTTGCAGGCTTGAAAATTCCTGCAAATCTTGGCTACTTTGGCGTTCAGTGTAAAATGATGTTGTATCTGATATTCTGTTACTGTTCTGTATATCTGCTAAATTCTTTCTGAAGTGACCTGCTATTTTTTTAAGATGCAATTGGATATATTGTGTTATGTATATAATCCCAACTTGACGCATTTATGGTTCTTCAGTGTTTCTAACATCCGGTGGTCACATGAAAATGAGGTTATTTTAAAGTTAAAACTGTTCTGATAGTGCTATTTTTAATTGTTTCATATGTATGCTCTTACAAGTGAAGTTTCTTGCATTGCTGTAGCAAAGACCCAAGTATTTGTTTGACAATACAGGGATGAATTAATAGGAAGCAGAACATTCAATAAAGTCAATCTTTAGTATGAAAAACACTTTCGTAAACTGTAAAATGTTTTAATTACATCTAAAGAGGCCTCAGTGTGATCTTGCCTACAAAAGCCTATGTAAATTATTTGTCAGTGGTGGTCTGCCAAAAAAATCCTAGGGGATAAGGCAAATCAGACTGTTGAAGTTAATTAGTGTCATGTGTGTGCATCACAAATGCAGAGAGGCTTAAAAGCCACCAGCAGTACTCAAAATAACACATTTGGGAAATAATTTCTGAGTTTGGCTCTACAGCGTGATTTGACTGTGGGATCTGGAGGATGAGTTTTTATGTGAGTTTTATGAAAGCTTGCAGCAGAATAAGAACTGGAGTATTTTGTTTAAGAATATCAGTCACAAGTTGTGGTGGCAGTTAGAAAAAAACAGTTCTTCACTACTCTTTCTAATGGTGCTTTATTCAGATAGTGTAATACTCAAATTAAGAACAGTTTTTTTAAAGGTGCTGTTCTTACAGTAAAGTCTAGTAACTTTACAAGATTGGAGAAGAGTGGTTTTTTCTGAAACTTGTATAGGATCAGCCCTAATTAGATACCTCTTCAGCTTTTCTGGAAATCTTCTGCATGGGAAGAAAGTAATTCTGTAGTTTTTGTTTTTGTTTTTTTGTTGATGAACAACAGTTCATCACTGTTGTAGATGAACAGTGTAAGAAATTAAATTATCCATGGCGTTGTTGAAAAAAAATTGTGTTACAGCTAGGTATGAACTATAATTTCATAAACTTATAGGAATTGTATACTTATAAAACAAATAAGTATCAATTTTATAACTTCCAAAATTGATTAAAAATATCTAATTTTGAAGACGAAGGCATTCTACACAATATTCTTTGCCTGATTGCATATCTTGAAAAAATAAAAATGTTGCATTGCTTAAAAAAATATAAAGCTAAAGAAAAATCTTGAAAAAGGAATTTCACATTATATAAAAGTTCTTATTTTATTCTATTAAATACTTAATTATGAATAATAGTGTGAAGTTTAGCTACTAATGGTTCCAAGTCCCAACTGGTATCAGTTTTAAAATAACTTCAGTTGAAATACTTGTTGAAAGCATACTGGAATGAACTGCATTAATCACTTCATTATGAAATAAAATACTTCATGCAGATATACTTAATATTTCCTCAAAATGTCAAATTTCGGCATATCAGCACCCCAGGAGGAGAAGAAGCTGGTAGAAAGAGCCTAGGGAATACTGTTGGGTTTTTCCCCTATGAGGGATGGGAACCTTGCATATATTTCCAGTACCTGCTAATTTAAAAAGCAATTTAAAATACTCTTTCTCCATAAAGTAGCATAATATCTGACAGTCAATCTGCTGACTGTTCAATCACCTTACAGTACAAAGTTTTTAATTCTTCTTTGGCAGTAATAGAATCAGAATGTGGGATGTAGACTCAGGTTCCCCACACTGTCTCCCCTTTCAATATACTGAGTGTTCCCTGTTGGATTCCCACCTTCTGGTTTTTGGTTTTTAACAAAGAAAATATTTAGTTTATAGGCAGTTGTGAAAAGTCTCACAAGCACAAGGCAGATGCCAGTGGTTGGAGATGATGTGGCCTGATAGCTTTGCAAACCTAACCAGTGATCTTTGAGTCCTGTTTTTCATAATCAATAATACAAGTAACTTCAAAATAGAACATGGAAGCTTTTCTTGAAGTTACTGAAATATAATATTTCAAATTGACGTCTAGATGGTAATAATTTTCTCAGTATTTTAATCTTTCATTTTCATCCTGTATGTCATTGCACTCACATGAATAAATACATTCTTTCAAGATGATAAGGTGATCAGCAATTATAAATTTATGTAGAAATATATAATACAAAATACCTATTGTATAAAAATATGTAAGTATATTTAAATATTTTATATAATATATTTATATATAACTATATAAGATTATATAGAAAATATTTAATAGAAATGTATGTATTTTTCATTCTTTTTTTTCTGCTTTAGGGCAGATTATACCAGAAAGAAGATTTGTAGAAGCAGTAAATCGTGAAGCGTATCAGTATCAAATTGGTGACTTTCCAGCAGAATGGGAAGGTAAATATTTTGGTTTTATTTCAAGAAAATTTTGCCATTGAATGTAGGCTCTGTATTTTTAATGGAAAGCCTGATATGTGAACAAGTCATTTGTTTTTTTAATTTTTGGAAAGGCAGGCTTTTATTTAACTGCATAACAATATAAATTCTTAAAGTAGCCTCTTTAAAAATAGGATAAATTTTGTTTGAGAAGTCAGTACTTAATGAAAGTAAAGCCTATGTGAGATGACTTACTCCTATTAAATGTGAAAATATTTATGCCTGTGGAGGATCTGATTGAATAACCAGCATGAAGTGCATTAAACAAAACTTCCTTATTATTCCTTCACTGCAGTGTTAATATGTAAGTCAGTTGATGTACATATTGGTGTCACCAGCGATGGGGCTGCTTTTTTTATGGTGTATTTGGTTTCCTATACTCTCCCTTGAGCAGTCTAGTAGAGAGTTGGAGAACCTGTAAGTAAGTAACCATCTTGTCCAAGTGCTACTGATTAAATTCTTGTCTGAAAATTTGGGATGTAATGAACATTTCAAGGAAGTTAGCACATTTCCTTAGGATTAGCTGATCAGCTCTTAGAGAAAAACAAGAGGAGTATATGTTGGTCTTTGAAGTTGTTAGGTGCTTGAGCCAAGTGTGGGGTTAAACGTGACTTGAAATCTAGGACTCTGCAGTATAAGCAAGGAATCCCTGAAATAGTATAAGCAAGGAATCCCTGAAATACTATGTAGAGGCTACCCATTACTCAACATGCTTTTGGGAGAGTAAAATACCTTGACATCTCCCTGAAATTATTAGGTTTAAAGCAAACAGATTTTAAGCAGTATGTTATTTAGCTCTGGAATTCCTTGTCATGGACTATTCTACTTGCTGGAAGTTTGCATGAGTTAGTAAGAGGTTAAAAGTATTGGTGGAAGAAAAACTGTTCTTATACACAGATATTACTGTGGTTTAATTTGTCAATGAGCTGCAAATGAATTGAGTCTACAACATTTGGGAAATGTCTTATTATACTTGCTTTACCTCATTCTCTTTCTTTTGTGCTTGATGCTCTTCTCTGAGGGAGATGATACTGAACAAAAAGAAAACTTCAGGCCCATTATATTCCTTAATGGAGTCAGGAGAGAAATAGAAAACATTCTTACCTTGTTTTTTATCATTGTCACTGCACTAATTCCTAGGATTTTTGTTGTGATCAACTGAGGCTAGTATTAAGAGCAGAAAGCTTCTGAAAGTGTTTCAACACTATTGGCAGTGTTTGCCAGCTATGGTGAAACCATGGTATCAACAGTTTCTGTCTTCTACTGCTGCAGTACCCACAGGGGGTTGGCAAGTCTTGCTCTGGCTGTTTCTGCTTCTTTGTCAGTCCAAGAGAGCCATCTGCTGAAGGAGAGCAGCAACCTGATAGGCTTGTCCTAACTAAATCATCTGGTGCTTGAATGGATGAATGCTATTCATCCAGCTTTCTGAAGGTCGTTTTCCTCATCCAGAAGTTCTCTAGCTATCAGTTAGAGCTCATCTTAGTTCTCTGTGACTGTCATGCAAACACTGCCCCACAGACACCAAGAAGCATATATGAAGCTTCAGGTAACTCTGCTCTCCTGTGAAGGAATTCTCATCCAGGACAATTTGGTAGTCTCTGTCTGCACTTGTCTGGAATTCAAGAACACAACACGGACAGTCAGACTGTCTCAGACGGGTGTGGGCTAATCATCCTTTCCCAAATGGGGTTAGACTACAGTGTTCAAACAAACAAACTATTGCTATACAAACCCATTGCTTCATGCTATTGGGATCAGTGTAGCACTAAAAATCCTCTGCTATATCTCTCTTCAGAAATTTAGCACAAATCCATGGGATTTGACAGTGTGGTGTCTTGAAAATTGCAGATTTTTGGGATGTTGTGTGTGACAAGACCTTAAAGTCAAATACCATGTGCCCTCAAGGGTATATGGGCCTTGTCTAAAAAGCTGCAGCTGGCAGACCTGAGACACACTTTTCAAATCAAGGCATCCTATTCAGATTTGTTTTAGAGAAGAAGCTATTACCTGGCCAGTCCTGTTGTTATGAGCTATGTTTACAATTTTATTGCTTAACTTCCTCATCTTCGTAACTGTGGGGTTTTCTCTTTGTGATACTGTCAGAAAATACAAATACACTGTCAGCAAGGAATTCACAGAGGAAAAGAAAATTTGCAGTTTGCAGATTGAGTAATAGTTTTTTCCTATTAAGTACTTATCCTGATTTTGGCCAAGGATGGAGTTAATTTTTGCAATCACCAGGAGAGGGTGTGGCTAACAGGTTGTGGCCAGAATCCAGATGTTATACAATACTACTTTAGGTCATTGCTGGGAGTAGGGGAAGGGGACTCTGGCTTCTGAGAAAAAAGGTGTGGCTTCTGATTGGGAAAAAACATGGCTGTGGTCATCTGAGATCATCCTTGGTGAGCATTTTGCATGTAAATTACCCTCTCTTTTGTATGCTTTTATTATGAGTATTAATTTATGTTTGTTTTCTTATCTCACTGCTGCTTCCAGTAAATTGTTATCTCACCCCATGATCTTTCCCTTTTGTGCCTCCCATCCTCCTCCCTGGCCACCCTCAGTGGGGAAGGGTGGAAGAGGAGGGGAGAGGGAGCAAGCAGTTGGCAGTGTGGTTTGGGGAACTTTTGTGGGAGGAGTAAACTGGGGAGTCCCATTCCTCAACCACAACACTACTGAATTTCTCTAGAAAGAAGAAATACATGCATGCTTTTTTCCCCAGTGCGTTTATTAACCATAAGGGTGTGTAGTGTATGCTTCTGAGAGATAAAGATGGGAATCCTGGAAAAAAGGCTAGCCTGTACTTTTTTGTCCAATGCTAGTCTAACTTTTGCAAACGGTTTTATGGATGTAGAAATTTAACAAGCCGAAACTGGTACTTCTGCTGTGGGTAGAGAAGCTGTTGAAAGACCTATTATGTCTTGGCTACATATTGTGGGGTGTAAGGGATTTAGGATGCTCTGAATTTCCATTTATCACTATTTCTTTTTTGCCTGCTCTAAAAAAGAAATTATGAATTAGTTGAAAATGAGAAGGAATGGAAAGTGTAGTAGTAGTTCAAATACAACTATAGAAGCCAGTTATCTAGTAAGAAAAGTTTAATTCAAGATTTTTAGACACTTTGCTGAAATGCTCATTACATTTCTGTCCCAATTTTTTCTTCTTTAACATTGGTCAAGAAGTTTCCCAGGCCCACAGGACCTGTGCTGAACTTTCACTGTGTGTTCTTCTGTCCAGATGCTTGAAATATCCCAGTACATTCTTTCTGTGGGTGTTCACATTATAATTCGTGCTATTATGGATGCTGATCATTCCAGCAAATAGCCTGAGACTTTGCTGAAGGAGTTCTAAAATACTTGCTGTTTCCTCTGAACAGTAAAAGATAAATATAAGGTTAGAATCTTATTTAATATTTCCTATTTTGTTTTCTCTTTGCTCTTGGACTTTGCTGGGCACATGCTTACATCTCCAGGTGCCTCCTCTCCAAACCCTGTGTATGTACTTTGACATCCCTGGCCTCTGCTTAAGTTTTGGCTGGCTCTTCTTCCTATTCCTCTCAGGCTTTTCACTTTTAGGATTGTGCTGAAGAGTCTGTTGCCTTATCTCCTTTTCTTAGGACCTGTAGAGAGCTGCTTTTACCTGTACTGTCTTTGTTCTGCCAGGACTCAGGGTTTTTTATTTGTAGACAGTTCTAAATGGCCACCTCATTTAAAAGCAGTCATCCCAGCACCCTTTCCCTTTCTTTGTTACCCTGCACAACTGTATGGCTGACTGTATGACTAGAAAAAGAAACCTCTTATGACCAAAATTAATGAAAGTACCATCCCTGGAAATACTTACAGGCATCACTTGTCTGAGGAGAACTTACATGAAACCAGGGACAAAGGCTAGTGTAAGGAGTGGGAACAGGCTGTAGAGAAATTGGAAGAGGGGACAAGTTAAATTTCATTCTGTACCTAAGACATTCAACTTGGACTGGTAACATAAGGAACTGATTCTGGTACTGTGTTTATCAAGTTTTAAATGTGTAATAAAGTAAAGGAGACCAAGTAGAAAGCTATAAAGCATCATCTAGATCACAGACTCAACCTGTGCAAGCTGTTTCTTTGACTCTGGAGAGGTTGTTTGTGTACTGATCCTGGGAGTTTAGTGAATACAAGGCCAAGGTTTACTCCTGAAGGACTCATCTGGAAATTTTATCCGAAAGATGTTAGTTTTCAGTGCTCTGGAGGATTGAATTATCTACATTCTCAGACCTCTGAATATTAAAAGTTCTGAAGTGTCCATTAAGGCTTCTGTAAAGCTAAAACAGAATCCCTTGTGTTATCCTCAGTGATAGCTCTTTGTACACCTTGAATTTTAATTTTAAAAATCCAAAAGTGTATTTCCTCTTGTGCTGTAGTTTTAAATTTAGAATGCAATCCATATACGAATATTTGTATACAATAATAATACAAATATTGCCTGGTTTTGTTTCAGTGAAGCCTCTTATATTTTACTTCAGAGTGTGAGTGCCTACTTTTCCTTAGGCAGTATGGATGCACACAACAGATAACATTTCTGTATTTTAGTTCTGAATTTTCACCTACTTAAGTATGTGTAATTTACCTCCTCAAGACATGTCAGTAGTGCTCATGAGGGGACATCTGAAATTTTACATACCACAGAGATTCAGGAGAAGGTGTGCTTCATACAGCATTTTATTGCCATCTACTCCTAATCTCTCTTTTCTTTTTCTTGGTAACATTTAGTGATTAATGGGAGTCTTAATTTGCATGTTCACTTTTATGGCCATTGCAGTGTGTTATCTGCCAGTAGGAGACTTAAAGTTCAATGAAAATTTCATGCATACTAATAAGAATGCAAATGAGTGCTGATGAAAGAATGCGAATGTCTCAAGGTAGGAAATGTCCAGCTTACTTGCAAAATTCCTTTTAGACAAAGGTGGAGTTAACATGAGTACATCCAAATAAAATTAAAAGCAGCAGTTTTAAATGGGGGCAATGATTCATTTTGCCAAAGCTTTGGTATGCAGGGGGGATGTTTTGGTTGCACTCAGTACATACATGTTATCTTCTCTGCCAGGTTTAAAATATCTTGGCTGACAATGGCAAAGGCATTTTGTTTTGTTAGCTTGGGGAATGGGAATGTAATGAAAAACTTTTTCCCAGCTATAACTCTCAACTTTTAATTAAGTATATATATGTGTGCATATGTTGTTCAAATATAATGTAATATAGCACCTACCTACCTACCTTGTTTCCATGAACAAATATTTGACTATAGTATAAAGCTGTTGAGTAATTTAAAAGTGCATTCACTGAGGTTTAATGCAGATCATAAAGAAAAGTACAAGAACTTTTTCTTTACTCAACTGTATACACAGATATATGTATTTTGTATCTGGATATATGCAGATATATAAAGAGAATGCAAAATATATAAACTTCAACATATTATTTACTTGAATTTTGTTAAACATAGTGCTAACTCAGTAGGAAATTGGTTATATTTTTGTACACCTTCATTCTCCCTTTGCTACCATGAATTTCTCTTACACCTGAGTTATGAGGTGTTGGTGCTTTTTTTGAACCGTGTGTTGGGTGCTCAAAATTTTATTGATAACTTAAAAGTCAAGGATTTGAAAGGCTTTTAAAAATTCTCCTGTCTCAAAGACAACTACATAAAAACTGGTGAGAATTAAGTGTCCTCCCATTCTTATCCCCAAAGATTAAGTGGTCAGGTGAAATATTAGTAAAATGTGTTTCTTTTGAAAGACTGATAAAACTAGTGTATGCTAAACTGCATTGTGGTAAAATATACTGAAATCAGATGATGTTTTCTTTGCTTTTAAGCTCATATTTCTTCTTGAGATTTATGAAGAATATTTGAGAAGTGGATTTGCTCAGAGGAGTATGATAATGTTAAGTCTAACTAACTTCATCTTATGGATTTACAAATATTTTAGTAAGTTTTCATACTATATTCCTCCCTCAGCTACATGGCAGTGAAGAAATCTTTCATTTGATAATGACTTTCTTGTGCAGTTCATGAGAGATATTAAAATTAATTTACTTGTAGTAATTCAGAAAATAGTATCAATATTTGTGCCAACAAGTTTTTTGTACCGTTAAGCTGAAAAAGATTAGTACCCCTGACATTTATTAGAAAACAGAAAGGTTAATAGCTCAAATAAAGCCAAGTATTCAAGTGTTGTTATATCTGGAAAGAAAAAGAGCACAGTGTTAAAACTGTGTGCATTATTTATGTATTTAAATAGATGCAGTTGTATTATGGAATGTCTGATACAAAAACTCTTCCTAAATTAACGTTTGCTTCTTTGCTTTTGAGTGTTGGTACTGAGTTCAGTTAATGAATGATAATGTATTGTAGAGTGGTCCTTATTTCACGGACTTTGTTCACAGGACATATGTGGTTGTGTTACCCTTCACTGTTTTGTTTGCAGCTTTTAAAATGAGGTAGACAATTAAATTATAAAATCATTTGCTAGAAGTATTCCATTCATCTGAAAATCATTAGTCAAAAAACTGCTAAAAGTCACAAGTGGTCTTGAAAGAAAATCTATTGTACTGTTTATATTTCAGCAGTACTTTTTGGCTGCAGCTTAATTTTTATTTCAAATTTTTTCTTTAGTGATCAGTTATCATAATGATCTGAAATTAAAATGCAGCTGGTGTTTTAAGAAAATACTGGCAATTTCAAATAAAGTAAAGCAATTGTTACATATTGAGAGCTGTGGGATTGAAAACAGTGGTACTATCCTTCCACAGGTCAGAAGCAAGGCATGGCAAGGTAGAAGATGATATTTCACTGAAAGTAATCTGTTAAGTTTTGATGGTTTATGCTTTACTTTTTATGAGACATTTTGAACTAGTATTTTTGCCTTTCTCCAGCTGTATCTTTTATTGATTAGTGTCTAGTATACACACTTTGCTGTATCTGAAATCTCTACTGCTTTTTACTTTTTTCTGAATGATGTTGCCAAGTATTTCAGTAATCTGAAACTGTTGCTGAGTATGGACAAAGGTAACTTCCTTCAGGAGGAAACGCTTATGTGATAAGATTTTCTTCTATAGCATAGTTGGTTTTGTTACAGAGTGTATGCAAGGCTGCCAGCTGAGAAGTGACAGTCTCAGTTTAGTCTTTCATCTTACCAGATTTTGCAGTTTGAAATCCTAGTAGAATTTAAATGTTTGTAAGTGCTACTACAGGTACATGCAAAAAGTTCTATAGTTCTATAGTTTTAATAGACAGTCACTTAGTTGTATTTTGAATTACATTATTGGGCTGTTTTTCTTTCCACTGACATAAAACTTGCAGGAAGTGTGATGCTAACTCTTCATAGCTCTGTCACTTCTCCACAATGACAATAGATTTGGATCTATTTTTTGTTAGGAATGCTGAGAAGAGATGACAGGGACTGCTTTTAAGAAAAGTAGTCTGAGAAAGACATTTAAAAGTACATATCTTCAGGAAGTAGCATCTGATAGACAAGAACAAAAGTATTGCAGGTGTTTTACCATTAAACTTTACCATTAACCAAGGCTGTTGGCCTTGCCATCCTGGGTAAATTCCAAGCTGTTCTACCATTTCATCTCCCTTTGTTCTTATGTTAATTGGAACCTATTCTCCCTAAAACCAGTTGCATACTGCTGCTGGTGTTAGTGTTTCACCTTCTATGTAATTGCATTTTCAGAAATGAGATGATGTTATGACTGTGCAGGTTTTAGTGTTTTAGGCTTGTCTAAATCATTCCTTGGTTCCCTTCAAAATACAGCGCAGATGGTATTAGAAAATTAAAATATGGACTATTTACTTCTTAAAGCATTTCTGTATTTTATAGATGGTAACAGGTGAGGCCAGGAACTTGAGTGTGTTATAGCAAAATGTTATTTTTGCTCTAATTTTAAGCATAGTAACAAAAATCTTAATTACCTAAACAAACATATGAAATAACATTTTTCTGCATCTTAGCACTTGGAAGTGGCTTTCCTTATGTTTGTAATTCTGTTCATTACTGGCTACTTGCATTCTGCTACTAATTAATTTGAAAAATATGTGCAGAAAAGACAAATGTGTAGATTAAAAAGCCATGAAAAAATGCTACAGTAGTGGTATTCCTAAAAAGTGGTGTCAGGTCATTCCTCTAAATAATGTCTGTAATAGTTGGAGCTCTCTCTCTTAATTCATTGACAAAGTGAGACCTGTCAGCGTCTGTGATTTGGTGTCTGGATTGTTGCTGCCTGACAGTCCCAGCTAACAGCAGTGATAGTGATGGGTGTAGGCAAATATCCATGGATCTCATTCAGAAAACCTGAGCCACAGGACAGCTTTCATCACCACTGCTTTCATTCCTCAATTCCTCTGCTGTCTTTTCCAGTGGATTTTTCCCTCAGTCACAGTACCCGCCCCTCCTGGCAGTGAGCAATCCCACAGAGCCACATGTTGTGTTCAGTCCAGGCTCTGCAGTCCCTCAGTCAGGTCTGGGGCTATACCTTTCACTCCTGTAAAGGAATTCTACCTGGTAGTAACATAAAAATTTTTCAGCTTAAAGAATATCTGAAGCATGTACAGGAATCCTTTTTCACCAAAGTGGTCTAAGGCTGTTCTTTCCATCAATCAGATTGTCATTTTCTTAGGGTGTATCTCAACTCTGTATTGCAAGCTCAACAATAAGCCTGTGCCCTAAGCCCTGCTTTTTAAGCCCTGTTTTGACAGCCAAGGTGGTATGTAAACTGTGCCCAATGTCTCCACATAACGGTGACACCATCCCCCACCTCTCCCTTCTCTGAAGACCAAGTATTGAAACAGGAAATAACATCTTGTGCCTACATTTTGGGAAATTACAGGTTTGCCAGGTTGTGGTGAATTCTATTGTAATTTTTTCATAAATACTTGCTTTCTGTTACAAATTAATAATAATTTTGAGTTTTAATACTGTTTATGATCTTCAAAGCAATCCATTTGATTTTTATTGTTTTTTTCAGCATGGATAAGAAAAAAGAGAGAAGATCCACCCACAATTGAGGTGAGATGAAATGTCTTTCAATTTTCAATTGGTGAAATGAAACTACCAGAATTAATTTATAGTGGACTCATCTGTGCAGTAATCTGCCACTTACAGGGGAGAATTTAGTATGTTCCTTGCCTAATTGATGAAAATGCACACTGACTAGATATCTAACACTTAGCAAAAAGTAAAATAAACTCCATTATTCTTTAGTCATTCTCTGTATGAATTCTTTTAAGATGATATACATAGGCTCTTTAAGATGATCATAACCATTAAAGAGTCTCTTCAATTAAAAAAATTCTTAAATTACTGCTATGGCTTTTTAATTAATGTAAGGTGTTTTTCATGGTAGTTGATACTAAAATGTGAGTTTCAATCCCAGCTGGCAGTGGAGTCATCAAAACAGGAAAACCAATTCCACTAGCATTTTACAGTGTTAATGCTACAGGGGGCTGTGTCTTTTTCCATAACAGAAAGCAGAGAAATGTCCCCTAGTGTTTTTATGCTGATGAGTTTGTAAGGAGTTCAGAAACAAGTTTGACTGCTGATCTGTGTATGCAGATGCATGCTCACAGGTACATGACTTGCCCAGCATTTCTGTTATTAGTTGTTAAGCACCAGCTAATAATGAGAGAGGAGACACAGTTTGCTGCAGAAGATTCAAAATTACACCCAAGGAGGCAGATACTTGACTTGCATCAGGAGTAACTGTGTCAAGTTCAGATCCCTGAAGATATGTTGGCATATCCAGCCATTTGGTCACTGAGATCTTCTGGAACATCCTGGCCTGTGAAAAGTTGTCCTGACTGCCTGTGAGTTAAGATGACCTGGGGAAGCTTGTCATTGAAACAAGCTCCTACACAACATACAGCTTTTCAACTAATTCGCTCTGCCCCTCTTTCACACTTGCTGCTGAGGCTATAGAGACAGTAAGGACTATAATACATCCATGAATGAAAGAAGTTTAAGTTAAATTTCTCCTTAAACCTATTCAGGGAAGTAGTAAATGTGTTCTGTTTTTTTTTTCAATTTTAATTTTTTTTTCCCTTTCCTCCCCAATCTAGTTATTTATGTAGAGCCATGGAACTGATACTACAACAGTTGCTCCATCTAAGTTTGGACAGACCTAATTTTAATTACTTCTGGCTTATACCAACTGTATGCAAACAACTTTTATTGTTGAAATTCCACTTAATGTGATGTTTGAAGATGGGAAGTGTTATGTGTCTTTTGTTCTATCATTTCTGTGAGCCAGGCTGCTCTGATAGTTGCTCTGAGGTAAATCTTCTCCAAGACAGGCAGCCTTGGGTCTGGACTTGGTGCAATAAAACTCCTGGTGCTAGAGATGTTGGTTCATTTTTGAAATAGGGAGCAAGAAGTCTCCACAGGTGAGAGAATTGTGGAACAATAGTGTTCTAAATATTTTACCTTCCAGAAAAAGCAATTTATGGAGAATGAAAGATTGCTGTGACTAATGGTGCGTTCAGAGTTACAGGACTTCTTATATTTTTAGTTTCATGGGGTAATAGATCTGAGAAATAATTTAGCAGCTAGGTACTTCACCTGCAGGGCTGTGCATTGACCGTATCACAGAGCAGAAATTATAAACTAGGAATTTGAAAATAGTTAACTTTTCAAGTAATCTCTAAACGTATTTTTTCCTGTATAAGAAAAAGTAGTTCAAATATACATATGTTAAAAATTCTTCCTAATGTTTTGAAAAGAGTGGTCCAGTCATACTTTTAATATGTGATAGTAAAGCCTAATTTTTCTCTATTATGGAGTATAGTTTGGGGTGCTATATATGATCTACTTTTCTCCTAATTTGAAAGTGGCACAAATCCTTACATCTTAATATAACTATAATAGTGAAAGACGTACACATAGCATATTGTTTGGTCCCTATTTGTAGGGCTGATTTGATTTAGTGTTTTAGCTACATAAACCTTACTGGCTGCTATTCCACATTATATTCCCCTTTTGACAGTAAAGGTGATATGATAAACTGCTGTTTGACAGCTATGAAGCAAGGGAATATTTGTGGCATATTCCATGTTGAAATCCTGTATAACAAATCTTTGTTCTTTTGTGTATTTCTCATGAGGCCAGACTATTTCTGAAAAAGGATGTAAAGCCCACAAATTTTATGTTTTTGCTTTATTGACATTTTGCTGTCATCATCTTATTGTAACAGCCCTAAAGATCCTAAAGCGTAAGTTTCTGGAGCTGTGCCTATGTTCCTACCTTTGCAGTCTGTAAAAATACTTTTTTGAATGGTTTTCCTCTCTTTCCTGTCCTTTGCCCTTCATTTTTTTTCTTTCTAATATCAAATGACATATGTTAAACTTATTACAATTTCTGTTGCACTTCTGTTAGCCTATCATCCCCCTTTTGAATCATATATATGGGGGTTCTTTTATTTGTCTTATCTTTTATTAGCTCTTGGCTATTGATGATAGAGGGTGCTCAACTACTCAGGTTACCGGGTTTCATGATGAATTTTTAATTGAAAATATTGCAGAGTTACAGCTTCACAAAGTAGTTGGATCTTACTGATCACACTGATGACCCCATGTTGGGAACCAGTGGTTTGGTAAATACTGTAGGCTAACAAAATGTCATTCATAATCATCAGGACATGCCAGTCATTTAAGTGAGAACATATGTGAGTTGTTCCTCCCCGACAGTGGTCAGAATAATTGGGTCATGACATCAAGCTAAGTCTGCTGGTGATTTTCTTGAGACTTCATAATGTTTTGTAATCAAGACGTTCTTTTTTCCACAAACACCTGATTTTTTTTGTTTGTTTGTTTGCTTGTTTCCATTATAAAGTTTTCATTTTTGCTCAGAAGTTGCTTTACCTCTCTCTTTAGTTTCTCTCTCCTGGTTTGTGTTTTTTTTTTTTTATGGACGAATACTCCAAGTCATCTTGTGCAGTGTTAAATATATCACATCCCTAATGGTTTCTTTCCTCCTTTGTGCCCAGCCCTTTTTCCCCATTTTTGAAGGAAATTACTTGGCCTTCTGTGTCTGGCTAGACATAATTCATGAATGCTGCTCATCACCTTCATTATTTCTAACCTGGCCACTTACATAAGGAGCGTTAATGCTGGAAGCCTTGGGTTTTAAAATAATTTTCTGGGATACTGGTTAACAGTTGGTTGCCTTTTGATTTTTTTACAGCTTGAAATATGCCATGTCTCAGCTTAGTTATGATAAGGGTGATAACTTGATGAATTATGGCAGATCATATTGTTTGTGATGTTCTGCTTAAACATACTCTGTTCCTATGGTAATCAGGGCATCTGTCTTGATATAGAATTCTGGATCACACCTTTGTCCTGTTTGAGCATGTGTACAGTATGTGTATACTTCTTAATAACAATGAGAATTTGAGCTTGAATACAAATATTTTTGCAGTACTGTAGCATCCTGTCATCTGTCCTGTTATATGTGTATTGAGTATGATCATATATGGTTGGCTGAGGAAAATTATTACCTTGATTCCTGTGCAGCTCTATATTATATTTTAACTAGTTTAACTAAGTTAAACTGGTTAAAATATAATTTAATTATAATTATTTATCATTAAATAATTAATATTTATTAATAACTAAGTTGACTAATACATTTCTTTATTATGTTTATAGGAAACTAGATGTATGTAGTGTTTTGGCAAATAGGAAATATGTCACTGTCTAAGGACCTTAAAGTTTTAAATTAATGAGAATGTTTTAAAGGCTACTAATATTAAAATAATTTTAATCAAAGGCTATTTTGTGGAAGCAGATTTAATAATTTATCACTTTACATGTGTATTAGTTCACCTGCTCAGCTTTAATGTTGTTAGAATTTATTAACAAAAGTCATTTTGAAATATAGCAGTTGTTTTATAGAAAGGATGTTCCATCCATAGGAATTATTTCTTTAAGAGGCTATTCCCTTCCACTCTTTGAGCCATAGTCCACCTTCTGTATAGCTCATCCAAAAATTTCCAAATTAAATGTAAATGTGCTGTCTTGCATATTCCCCTACCCCCCACTTTTCCTTCCAGCTACAGAAAAACATTTAAACCTGGCATCTTTATATTTTGGATTTTTCACATCTTGTTTGGAAAGGCATGAAAAGATGCTCATGAAGACAAGGAGGAAACATCTCTTCAGACCTTTCTGTGCCTAACTTCTATTTGATTTTTTTTTCTTATTTCAGAGGGCATCAGAGGCTTTTGAAGAATTCTGCCATCTATTACACAAGATATATTTAGAGATATATATAGATATATATTTAGAAATCTAACCTTTATTTTTTCCCATAACAGATCTTCTAGTTACACACTACTTCTGACAATGTCCTGAAGTTCAAGGATATCTGAGAAATCTGGCATTATTTAAGGCCATATCTCTAGAATGGAGACAGAAATAAAGTTACAGACTTCATTGCAGTGTAAGAAAACTAATGAGGAAACTTGCAATTATGGCAATGCCAAGAGAAAGTGGTCTGGAGGGAAATGTGGTTTATCTCTGAACCCATCAGCATGGTATCCTGAAAGTGGTAGGTGTGAACCCATAGTAACACATCTTTGTGTACACAGGTCTTTGTACTAGATAACACTTCCCTGTTGATATAGAAGCTGCTTCCTCTGTAGCACACACAGGGCTGCACAGCCACAAATCTCAGTTTGAACTGAGACCTCTCTGTTGCTCTGTATGTGTGTGTTACATTAGTTTTTAATGGGAAGTAAAGTAGAATTGCATGTTCCTTCAGTTAGTATCAAGATCCTGAAAATAGGTTGAAATTGAACACCACAATGAACGGCAGCTTTTCTCATGCAGTATGTACTCGTTACACAGTAATAAAATGCAGTGAGTTCTGAATTGCACAGTTGGATAGAAGGTGAAATGCTACAAAAACCTAATGTGACGATGACTGTATTCTTTCAAACTATTTCTAGGGTATCCATAATTATCCATTTTGGCAAACTCCTTGTCAAGTGCAGAAAAAACATACTCCAGTGA